TGTTTGGTCAAAGAACAATAATCCATTCAAAACTGTCTTCAAAGTTATTCTATTTTAAACTCAAAATCTATTTACAATAACTCAATTTCAAACCTAAAACAATCCTGTACCAAAAAAGTGAACTTTCACTCTAATGTTAAAACCTTCAGTGACTAATAAAGTGGGAAGGAGCTACTTTGAGGCATAAAGAGTTCCTACAAAAATTTTAATTTAATGTTTAAGCAAACAAAACAGAGCCAGGGTGAAAAACACACAGCATTATTAATTCAGAGATTTTTAGTCCTAAAGATAAGCCTGTCATATGAAATTATAAAACTCTCAATAGGTGCTATAACACAAGGAAATTATCTGATACTGTACACAAAACCTGAATCCTACATAATGGAAACCTTTATTAACAAATCCCAGAGTTTAATTAAATACTGAAAGGAAACACATATGCTACCATAATACCCATACCCAGGAAAAGCTTACATAAGGATCATAAATTTTAATAAGATGCTTATTTTAACTTAGAAAGTTAAAAAATTGTCAATTGCTAAGAAAAGATATATTAAGGCTTAACATGTGACCTTTAAGTTTACTTAGGAATATAGAGAGTAGGTAATTAAAATAAATTGTGCAAACATATATTACACCAATCTGCACAATTATAAATTCAATCATGCATTAGTGCTGTATTCACTGCAATCAAAACATTATCAGTTACTCTCTCTGCTACTAATGCTCATGCTCATAAGTGAAATGTGTTGTAAAATCAGGCAGAATGGGCTGGCTAGAGACTCTCCCGGACTTGTAGAATGAATAAGCATTCCTTAATTAGCCCATCAGGTTAAGTGCAAGCATTAATGGGCCCTTCCTAAAGTCTAGCTTGACATCTTTCTCCAAACATGGCAAAGAAAGTTCCATTAGCAATATTAATACAAGCTTAGTTGATCATTTTCATTCAATTAACTTCTTTCAATTAAATAGATAGCTTGACAAAAGCAGTGATAAAAGACCCAAAGGGACAGCTGATGACTCGAACTGAACATTAGTGTGCGAGAGGTCACTGGTATATAACGACTGTAAATCTAGCATTCAATTTGGAAAATGCATTTCTTCTGCTCTCACTCCTTTAATGAGCAATTTTAGCTGACTGGAGTGTTTGCTGTAGAAATTTCATGGGAAGTCAAGCACCCTTTTCCTTTCCTTTTCTTCTACACCAATAGCTACATTCTCGGTGGTGGTGGTTTCCTGCCAACATTCCAGCCACAGTAACTCATAATTTCTCTTTTAAATGAAGATGTTTTAAAATAATTTACATACAACTTGCATTTAAAATTAATGACCTAGTCTACCTTATTAATCAGTTATTTGAAAAATAAAATCTGTAAGAAATTTTTAAATGAAAACATTAAAAAATTTAAATTATACTTCACCCTGTCACAGTTTAAGTACTTATGGCAATTTACAAAAGATAATGTAACAATGTAAAAGCAAGGTTTTTAAATGAGGGTAAATTTAAATTAAAATTACTTTTTTTTTTGAGACACAGTCTCACTTTGTTGCCCAGGCTAGAGTGAGTGCCATGGCGTCAGCCTAGCTCACAGTAACCTCAAACTTCTGGGCTCAAGCAATCCTCCTGCCTCAGCCTCCCGAGTAGCTGGGACTACAGGCATGCGCCACCATGCCCGGCTAATTTTTTCTATATATATTAGTTGGCCAATTAATTTCTTTCTATTTATTGTAGAGACAGGGTCTCGCTCTCGCTCAGGCTGGTTTCAAACTCCTGACCTTGAGCAATCCACCCGCCTCAGCCTCCCAGAGTGTTAGGATTACAGGCGTGAGCCACCCCGCCCGGCCTAAAATTACTTTTCTGAATTAAAAACTTCTGCAGATTAAAATGTATGCCTGAAATAAACCTATTCTTGTGAAACGAGTCAAGCCAAAACAAATTTGCAGACTATTCAACCTCAGTAAGCAATGAAACACATATGCTCCACACCTTAAATAGCTGAATCCATCGTTTCTGCTCCATCTGGATACACTGCTGCATTTCGGAGCTGGTGGTGACTCCGATGCTCTGGAAGGCGGTGACGTACTCCTCCCGCACCTCAGGCTTGGTCTCGGGGTGGGCCAGCTTGATGATGCCCAGGCAGGCGTCCCGCAGGCACCGAGACAGCACCACCAACTCCTCTAAAGTGAAGGGCATCATTGACGACTGTCTCTGGCCTACAACTGAGAAACACAACCCAGGGTTCCATCATACGTTTCTTTTCTCATTTCTTAACACACACTGAAAGACTTGAAAGGCTTAAAACCTTCTATTTTCTATGAAAACTGACAGGCCACCGATTTCTCAAAATTCTCACCTTCTATGGGATCACCGAAGAATTCATTATCATGTATGGAAATTAGTGAATGACTAAACAAGGAGCTGAAAAGGTAAAAGAGTGGGATGATTCGACTGGAATCCTCAAAAGACATAGGCGAGCCCCTTGATATCACCTGCAGCAGTGGGACCATGGACCTGGAGTTGGGGAGAGGGAGGAAACACAGTTATTTTAAGATTAGTTTTAGTTCGGGAAGAGAAGAAGACAGGACACCACACAAATGCAATCAAGGAACATAATAATCACATTGACACTTAAAATACTTAGAGGGAAAGTCGCTGTGAGCGTGACAACATAGGTTAACAAATAGCATGTATTAACTTAAAACAGCACATCAACCCATTACTCCTCACAAATGTGCCTGCTACTACTGGCATATCAACTGGATAAATCAAGTTACTAAGAAGCAGCCAGTGGTCCAAAGGCTGAGGACACTATTACAGACATACACTGTACTGTGCTTTTATAAGGAATCTGTCCCCCTTTCCCTCAACTCAACATATCTTAAAAAGGTGACTCATTCTTGTCCCAGGAAAAATCCATCCAGTCATGTACTTCTAGGAACATCCAAAACAGTTCAAGGAATGTTAAAAACAGTTCGATCCTGAAGCAAAATGAGGGCCTTCAGGACAATGCTCCCCCTTTCTGCACAGGCTGTGTCCCCAGGGCCAGGAATGGGGGGTCTTCAGAGAACTCTGTGGTCTCCTTCACCCATCAAGAGTCAAGACTTCTTAAATTTCCTTGTCACCTAGAATGTGTTCCGTTTCTCTCTCACTAAAGTCGGCTTCCTTGTCCTTTTGTTTTTTTTGAGACAGAGTCTCACTCTGTTGCCCAGGCTAGAGTGAGTGCTGTGGCATCTGCCTAGCTCACAGCAACCTCAAACTCCTGGGCTCAAGCAATCCTCCTGCCTCAGCCTCCTCAGTAGCTGGGACTACAGGCGTGCACCACCATGCCCGGCTAATTTTTTCTATGTATATTAGTTGGCCAATTAATTTCTTTCTATTTATAGTAGAGACAGGGTCTCGCTCTTGCTCAGGCTGGTTTCAAACTCCTGACCTCGAACAATCCGCCCGCCTCGGCCTCCCAGAGTGCTAGGATTATAGGCGTGAGCCACATGCCCAGCCTGCTTCCTTGTCTTATAGATGTTTAGTTAACAGAGGTTATCCAACAAGCTCTTTCCACACTATAAAGCCCACAGCACCCTCCAGCATGTCAAACCAATCATGGGTAACTAAATGTGGGAACAGTCACTTTCACCTCCCTGAATATCTATTTCTACAAAATTACAGGCATAATATTATTAATAGATGAGATTTGACCAGCAGTTAGGATGCACAAATTCTACATGAGAGCAAAGCAGAGGGAAGGTCACCAGTTATCAGCAGTCGGGCACTGGTGGGCTAGGCTGAACTGCCTGGGGTTTCCTAGTACCTGGGAAACTGTGGACATCTGGGATAACACCTTTGCATTATGTCTTGGTGCAGGGATACCTAGTGGAAAACAGTAACCAGCTGGCTGTATGTTCTTTCATTTTTAGCAAAAAGGAAACTACACTGTCTGATTTCCATAGAAAATACTGAAAATGAGGCAAATGAATAAAAATGTTATTTGCTAAAGGTCTGATATTCCAAAATAGTTGTTTCCTATCCATCTAGAGATGCTCTAAATGTATTAGGTTATTAAGTATGGAGCGTCTGATTTCGTTAAGTACTAAGTGTGACAGTTGATATCTCTGACATTTCACTTTGACACTTCTCCTTTTTTTAATTGTGAAGGTGCATCTCCCTATTTATTTATTTATTTTTGGAGACAGAGTCTTGCTTTGCTGCCCAGGCTAGAGTGAGTGCCGTGGCGTCAGCCTAGCTCACAGCAACCTCAAACTCCTGGGCTCAAGCGATCCTCCTGCCTCAGCCTCCCGAGTAGCTGGAACTACAGGCATGCGCCATCGTGCCCTGCTGATTTTTTCTATATATATTAGTTGTCCAATTAATTTCTTTCTATTTATAGTAGAGATGGGGTCTTGCTCTCACTCAGGCTGGTTTCGAACTCCTGACCTTGAGCAATCCGCCTGCCCCGGCCTTCCAGAGTGCTAGAATTACAGGCGTGAGCCACCGTGCCCGGCCCATCCTCAGTCTTTCAAGCGCAGTTTGGCTTCTGTTTATTTTTCAATTTTATTTTTTAGAGCAATTTTTGTGAAACCATGGATAAGTCAAAACTTCATGTTATTTTTTAACATTAGTTCCATTGTGGAACGAACACAGCGCAGACGGCTTGAGATGTCAACGTAGTGTTTGGAAAGGATGTGGCCAATGAACGCACAGTAGTACGTCGATGGTTTAACAAGTTCCAATCTGGTGATTTTAATCTTGAAAATGAGCCATGTGGGTAACCTGAGACCAAAGTGGATAATCATAAGCTGAAAGTTGTAGTGGAAGTGAATCCATCTCAATGTACGTGTGAATTAGCAGCAAGGTTTCACGTGACTATTCCAACAATATTGGATCATTTAAAACAAATGGGCCAGGTAAAGAATCTGGATAGATGAGTAACACTTGAATTAGACCAGCATCAGAAGAGAACTGTCTTTGAAGCTTGCCTTTCTTTGCTGTTATGACGTAAAGGCGAACCATTTCTATACAGTATTGTTATCTGGGGACGAAAGCTGGATTCCTTTTGACAATCACAAGTGTTCAGCATAACAGATAAATAAAGGTGAAGTGCTGAAACACATCCAAAACCAAATATTTGCCCCAAAAAGCTAATATTTGCCCCACTATGGTTTCATGAAACCTAGTCAATCGATTACAGTGGATGTCCACTGCAACCGACTGGACAAAATGATGAGGATGCTTGAGATTAAGCAGCCAAGACTGGTCAATAAAGACAGGCCAATCCTCTTGCAAGACCGCGTCACAAAAACAACACTGCTCAAACTAGAGAGGCTGGACTTGGAAACTCTGTCATCCACTATATTCACCAGACCTTGCACCAACTGACTACCACTTCCTCCACGCTTTGGACCACTTCTTGCAAGGAACAATATTCAATTTTCAACAAGCTGTGGAAAATACCTTTCGTGATTTCATAGCCACTCCGTCTCCAGGCTTCTTCGCTGGTGGCATAAACAAGCTACCGTTAAGATGGCAAAATTATGCTGACAGTTTAGGCACACAATTTAACTGTATTGCTTCTTGAGATGTAATCAACTTTTGATTCGAAATCAGACACTTCATATTAATGACCATTGTACTGCTGGTGTGGGTGAGGAACAGTGCTTCTCGGTCAGCCGAGAGCCGGCTGCGTCTCAGCGGCTGGTGAGCCTGCTCCAGCAGACTCTGGACTCTAACCCGGGTCTCAGGGCAGGAACAGAGACTCCCTGCAATGACGAGCTCCCCCGAGGATACCGCTGCACAGTAAAGGTGAAGCCCTAGTTACCCAAGTCTGCTGTGAAGTGTTGCCAAATTTCATTGAATGCCATCATCAGGAAAGCAGGCATTTCATTTTAAATTTTATTCGCAATAGTAAATACAATGAGACAAATTCAGAAGGGCACTGACTCATGATGGTTTTACTTGGGATTTTCAACGAGAAGCATTTAATAGAAACAGGCTCTCTGAGTACCCCTAAAACCATTCTGTTTTTCACTTTCAGTACAGTATTTGACAAATTATGAGATATTCAGCACTTTATTAAAAAATGAGCTTTGTAGTCGAAAATTTTGCCCTAAGGCTAATAGAAGTGTTGTGAGGCCGGGCGCGGTGGCTCATGCCTGTATCCTAGCACTCTGGAAGGCCGAGGTGGGCGGATCACTCGAGGTCAGGAGTTAGAAACTAGCCTAAGCAAGAGCGAGACCCCATCTCTACTATAAATAGAAAGAAATTAATTGGCCAACTAATATATATAGAAAAAATCAGTCGGGCATGGTGGTGCATGCCTGTAGTCCCAGCTACTCGGGAGGCTGAGGCAGAAGGCTTGCTTGAGCCCAGGAGTTTGAGGTTGCTGTGAGCTAGGCTGACGCCACGGCACTCACTCAGCCTGGGCAACAAAGCGAGACTCTGTCTCCAAAAAGAAAAAAGAAGTGTTCTGAGCCCATATCAGGTTGGCTAGACCAAGCTGTCATGCTTCAGTAGATTAGGTGTACTAAGTCATGGTATCTTCAACTTGTGATGGGTTTATCAGGACATAGCCCCATTATAAGTCAAGGAGCATACATATTAAGAATGTATTAATACACTGTCAACTTCCTGAGGTCTGTATTTTAATAAGGTACACAAATAAAAGGTCAGGTGTGGTGGCTCACGCCCGTAATCTTAGCACTCCAAGAAGCTGAAGGGAGAGGATCACTTGAGGTCAGGAGTTCGAGACCAGCCTGAGCAAGAGCAAGACCTGTCTCTACTAAAAATAGAAAAAAAATTAGCTGGGCAACTAAAAATAGAAAGAAAAAAAATTTGCTGGGCTGGTGGCGCATGCCTGTAGTCCCACCTACACGGGAGGCTGAGGCAGGAGGATCATTTTTTTTTTTATTTTTTTTTTGAGACAGAGTCTCACTCTGACACCCGGGCTACAGTGCCGTGGCGTCAGCCCAGCTCACAGCAAACTCAAACTCCTGGGCTCAAGCGATCCTCCTGCCTCAGCCTCCTGAGTAGCTGGGACTACAGGCATGCACCACCATGCCCGGCTAATTTTTTCTATATAGATATTAGTTGGCCAATTAATTTCTTTCTATTTATAGTAGAGATGGGGTCTCACTCTTGCTCAGGCTGGTTTCTAACTCCTGACCTCGAGCAATCCGCCCGCCTCGGCCTCCCAGAGTGCTAGGATTACAGGCATGAGCCACTGCACCCGGCCCAAGAGGATCACTTGAGCCCTGGAGTTTGAGGTTGCTTTGAGCTAGGCCGATGCCACAGCACTCTAGCCTGGGCAACAGAGCAAAACTCTTGTCAAAAAGAAAAAGAAACTATCTAAAAACTTGTATAATTTTATCAACTTATAAAATGGTAATGATTAACAATATCTCATTTACTCTTTCACAGCCCATGATTCCATTTCCTCACCAAAAGATAAATATCAGAAACGATAAGCAATCATCAGAAAATAACACGACAGTATCACTGGTGCTGGGCTGGGACGCTTAAGGCAAATGATAATCTCCTGCCCTAATGTTCCCCAATCTGCTTTGGCCCTAAGAAAACCTGTCACTCATGAAAGACAAGGTTGGCAGTGAGGAGCGACTAATGTACACCAAAAAACACCACAGAACAAAACATACCTAAAACCTTATAGTTTAGTTTGGAAAAGAAAGGCCAGAAGAGAATTTTTCTAGGCATTATGTTATTCCAAGGGGGTTTCTCATCTCTGCTTGTGCCACTCACTGTTGACGTAAGAGAATCACTTAACATTTAGATGTTTCACCAGATACAGTGGCATTGCTAAAAACTCCCTTAAGATTAAATGAAAACACAGGAAAGTAATTCAAAGTAATGTTATTCATTAATTGACATGTCCATTAATAAAAATAGTTTTGTACATATGATTTGAACACCAGTTCCATTCATAAAGAGGCCAACTGTGGCTGATAAAAAGGTCCTAAAATGTATCATTTGCTCTATGTACTGCATTAAAAAGCCCCAAATCCAGAAATCTCATCACAAGGTTTTTCAGTACCACCTTACATAGTATAGAGCAGATTAGATAGCAGGTAAATACATACATATTTGAATTCTGGACACCTACCCTCCACCTGCCAAAAATTCTTTCATCCAACTTCTTGTTCCTAAAAAGAAAAACACCCACCATTTCCCTCCACACTCTTGCCCTAAAACTGAGACTTGCCTTTCCTTTACAGGACAAGCTGGTTCACAGTGTGTGTTCCATATGCTGACTGCTGTCACTATCAGCATGGTTAACACAACGTTAGCATTCTCCAAGTCTGTTAGGAACCAGGCTACCAGGAGGAGGTGAGGGTGGAGCAGCCACTGAAGCTTCATTTCTACTTACAGCCGCTCCCCACTGCTGACATCACCAGCTGAGCTTCGCCTCCTGTCAGATCGGCAGTGGCGTGAGACTCTCATGGGAGGGAGAACCCTACCGTAAACTTACAAGCGAGGGATCTGGGCTGCAGCTGTGGTTCCTCATGAGAATCTAATGCCTGACGACCTGAGATGGAGCTGAGGCGGTGATGCTAGCGCCGGGGAGCGGCTGCAAATGCAGATTATCATCAGCAGAGAGGAATGACTGCACAGTAAATATAAAGTGCCTGCATCATCCTGAAACCATACCCCACCCACGTCCTTGGAGAGACTCTTCCACGAAACTAGCTCCTAATGCCAAAAAGGCTGGGGACCACTGCGCCAAGTTTAATCTCCAATTAACTGAGTTACACACTTTATCTTTTTATATCACAGTACAGAGAGACTGGCTTAGACTTCTAATGGAGGAAAAATCCAACAACATGGTAAAGGGCTAAGTCAGTTTGTCATGAAGAATTTTAAAGACAATTATTTCTTCTTACACTATATATATATAAAAGATAGTTTCAAGTTACACATTTATATATGAAAACTCAAATTATTTTAGCAAAAAGTTTAAAAAAACCAACTTCTACATTGTTTTAATGTTTGTAATGATGTTAAATTTGCTTCAAATCTATATTTTCATTGTCAAAAGAATATTAAAACTCTTCTGATGGGTGCCCAGGGCACATACAAACAAAAAAAGAATATTAAAGTCATATGGGCCAGGCATAGTGGCTCACGCCTGCAATCCTAGCATGCTGGGAGGCCGAGGTGGGAGGATTGTTTGAGCTCAGGAGTTCGAGACCAGCCTAAGCAAGAGTGAGACCCCATCTCTACTAAAAAAAATGGAGAATTAGTGGTACAACTAAAAAGTATTATATATATATAAATCGGCAGGCATGGTGGCGCATGCCTGTAGTCCCAGCTACTTGGGAGGCTGAGGCAGGAGGATTGCTTGTGCCAGGAGTTTGAGGTTGCTGTGAGCTAGGCTGACTCCACAGCACTCTAGCCCAGGCAAGAAAGTGAGACTCTATCAAAGAAAAAAAAAAAGAGAGAGACTGGGATTTTCAAAACTAATTTACCTTGAGATAAAGTCATACTCTTAGTAACATACAGATAAATAACTATAAAATTAGGCACTAAGTTTTTTTCCTGTGGAAATCGAGAGCATTCTGTGAAATTGACAAAGAGAATTTGTCTTCCAATTCCAATGCAACAAGTTTAGTAGAAGGACTAAGAACACCTGCATGCAGCCTCTTTGACTGGGCAGCCACTGGCTGTACCCTGGAGCTCAGTTTGTGATCGTGTTACATACCCTGTGATCATGCGCGTTGTCATGGAAGATATCAGAAACCACAGGTGTCTCAGAAACCTGGCATTGAAGGCTAAACTATAGAGGAGCCTAAAAAGGAATGGGGGAAAAATAAGGAAGAATAAGCAAAGTGAGCAATTATTCACTCAACACATTTCTTTTTAAGAAAGAACAAGCTACACACTGAAGATAAATGTACAGTTCAGATAACACCAATGCTAACACCACGAACGCCTCCTCCCACACGGCCACCTGATGAGGACACCGGGCGCAGCCTCCTGCAGCCTCCCGGACTAGGAGACCCGCCCAAAAGACAAAGGCGCAGGCTGCTCAAGCAGAAGCTGAGGTTGCTCCCCTTCTCACTACACATCATATTAACATACCGTGATACATTAACTGTGCAATATTAACACATTACTATTGTACTAGTAATATACATTTAAAATTTCTAATATTTAATGACTGTGACATTTCTTGAAATAAACACAAAGTTTGTTAACATCTCAAAAATGATTTAAATCTAAAAATATGTTTTAAAAGTCCTTAAAAACTCTTCCTTTATAATATCAAATTGACTAAAAAGACCAAAGAGCTTTGGAAAGAAGGGGTGAAACTAAATCAGTTTATTTATTTATTTAAATGCTTAAGATGGTAGGAAAACATGATTTTAAGAAAGGAATGTGATCTTACTAGAAACATTCTAGAAGAATAAGAAAGTAGAAAAACAAAGCTGGAGCCAGGCGTGGTGGCTCACACTTGTAATCCTAGCACTTTGGGAGGCCAAGGTGGGAGAATCATCTGAGGTCAGGAGCTTGAGATCAGCCTGACCAAGAGCGAGATCCTGTTGCTATGAAAAATAGAAAAATTAGCCAGGCACAGTGGCCTCTGCAGTCCCAGCTACTCGGGAGGCTGAGGCAGGAGGATCGCGTGAGCCCAGGAGTGTGAGGTTGCAGTGAGCTGTGATGATGCTACTGCATTCCAGTCGCAGCACCCAGCCCTAGGGTCTTCACAGGGGCCCCCTTTCCTTTCAGGAGAAAGGGCACTACGGTAACCTGATGATCTGACTAAATAACACACTGTCACGTGTATCGCCAACTCCCTTGGAATTTATTCACTGATACTGGCCTGTGTTCAGTATACTCCAACAGACTGAATCTTTCAAGCATGTTAATTTAAATGGACCACAGTAGAAGAGAAATAAAAGGGCTTATAGAAACAAGGCACGTTTCAATACAAAATCTGAAACTTGATTGACCGAGTAATTTCCTGTGTTTAATCCAAAATATCAGATGCATTGTTCTGTGCCAGCATTTTCTGAGGACAAAATATGAACTGCAGAGTCTGGTTTTTACAAAGAACTCCATTCTTATTTCAGTGTGGTGCATTCTGAGATGTCCGCATGGCACTTAGGGCACAATCACTGAAAACAATAGTGAAAACATGAAAGACCATGTGAAAGTTACCTAGAATCATGAAATCTTGGCTAGGAAGGATCTATCAGATCAGTTTGCAGCCACACTTCCATTCAGGTAGGCTAAAAGCAATCTGTTTGTGTCAGAAAATGAAGAGGTTGGGCTGTATCAGCTTTAAGGTCTTTCCCAGCTCAAAAGTGTGTGTGACATTCACCATAGGAACACGCCATGACAATCGTGAAATTGCAACAACACTATTCTAACTCCACAGGAAAGCTTCTCTCAGTGAGTCTCAAAATTACATTGAAAATTATGAAAAAAATCTTATTGGAATAACGAAAAAAATATTTAATAGTAGCAACACAGTAAGTTAAAGGATACCAACTAAGCCATACTATTAAGTATGCTCTCTCCCTATCATTAGTGTTCAACCAAATTTCCACTTAAAATTTACTTCAAAAAAGATTATACCATTGTAAACAGTATAGAGCTATATTAAAAAATAATAATACACGCCTCATCTCTGAGATAACTAAAATGTGTAGCATATGCCTAACACATACATAAAGAGTGCTAAAATTTTTTCTTGCCTTTGTTTCAATTTTTTGTTTCTACTTTTAGTTGCCCAGCTAGTTTTTTCTATTTTTAGTAGAAACAGGGTGTTGCTTTTGCTCAGGCTGGTCTTGGACTCCTGACCTCAAGTGATCCTCCCACCTTGGCCTCCCAGAGTGGTAAGGATTATAGGTAGGAGCCACAGTACCCGGCTCATATTTTTAAACACTATTCTTAAAACTTTTAAAATTGGGAGGGATTTAAAATAGCTGTAGTATATGTTTCTGCCAAGTTTACTCATATTTCCTGTGAATCAATTATAATTCACAAATGTTTAGAAAATTCCTAGAAGTTTCAAAACTTAGTCTAAATTCCATTGCTAAAGTTGACTAAAGCTAGTCTACTTTATTAATTTACTGTGTCTAATTAGTTTATAATCTACATATAATTTCAAAATAGATTCAACAGAATCGTCTGTGTTGAAATGTTTAAAAGCTCATCTATTTTAATTGATCTTCCTGAAATAAAATGCAAATTTTAACAGAATAGCTGATTAAATCTATTGATTATACTGAAAGTATCATTGATAATAAAAGCAATCATGATATTCTAGACAAAGAAATAAGTCTATATATTTATCTCTCCAAGTACACCCTCAATGTTTTTCTAGATTATAAAAACTTATTTATAAACATATGAACAGCATATATTTAATTCTGCATACACAATGAAACACAAATCTATATTTTTCTCCATTGAAGTCATTTGCATAGTCATTTTCCCTCAAATTATTAAAGTATCAGATTATAAATCAAGAGCTAAAGAGTACTTATTATCGTCGTATCTGTAATGGCACTCATAAAACACATGGGGAAACAGCACTGTATTTCCAAGGCCCACAACTGTCTAAATCACAATCATTTAAGATAACAAGACACAAGTAAGGTGGTGCATTCTATTAGTTTTTGGTGGAAAAATTAAGCATGTATTGAAATAAAACTGGTGGTAAATATACCTTATATTTTGATATATTTATATGAAAACTATAGGCAAATTATAATATTACATCAACCCATGTGATCCCTAAAACACTACCTTTAAAATCCCATTTCAAATCTTTTAGATCTGGCAGTGGAGAAGAGCCAAGGCCAGGAAGAACATGCAGCCCACCCACATCCCGTCTGAGACACGAGGAGAGGGGAAGCCTCTGGATGGAGACTCGCACACACAGAAGGAGAGAGGCATGAAAGCAGACAATGGATCAAGAAAATGCACAAAATCAAGTGTGGTTGCGGCAAAGAATATTCTGTGGCTAGAAATAAATTTAGAGAGTTAACCAAATGCTTGATAACAAAATGACACTGCAGGAATCAATAAGCTAAGGAATGTGAACTGTTTCCTGAGAGCAAAGGGGATTCGCTGGGAGATGTTTAAGCAAAACATGACAAAGAGTTCAAAACGTGACAAAGAATGCAGCCGTGACACAACGAGGGAGGAAAGTGCGAGTCCACGCCTAAAGCGCAGCCCTGTCCCCGTGAACATTCTGTGGAGGCAGACATGTGGCTATCAGGTGCTGTCTGATAAGGTAGCCACTGGACACACGTGGCTATCAGGCCCTTGAAATGTGACAGAGGACCTGAGTTTGTGCTTGTATTTGATTTAAGGCAGAAGCGTTACTCATGGCTACCACGCAGGGACTGCGACTCCAGGTTGCAGGCACGGACGTCTGAGTGACTGCGGCAGAATGGAAAGAGGCAGCTCCTGGGAGAGACGCTGGATCAACCCAAGATGGCATGCGGCGGGTAAGAGGACAGGCCCGGAGGGCACCTGCTACCGAGCAGGTGAGTATGTGTCTGCAGCTCCAGAAAGTAACTTAAGCTAAAGACATAAACGTGAGTCACCAGGACATAGCTGAGGCCACCTGCATGAAAGACATCACTCCAGAGAATCAAATGAAAGGGAAGAACTAAAAAGCTGAATGGAAGTAGTCTAAGAAGTTTGGGAAGATCAAATAAAACAGAGAAACAGAAGAACCCATAAAGGACACTGAGGAGGAGGAGGAGCCCAAGTGTTAAAGAAAAGGCAAGAGGACACAGTGTCTGTGAAAGGAACAGGTGACAGAGCATGAGGAAAAACAGGACAAGGAAGGCCAGACGCCACACACAGGCAGGATGTCCGCTGGGCTGAGCAGGGCACCACAGGCTCGTCTCTATGTGGACTTCCGCACGCTAGGATCACACAGCCATTCCATAACATATGGAATGTACCCACTAAAAATCCCAAGTCTGCCAGGGTTAAAGCTGAACCTTACAAACAGGCTGTCCTTATCTTACATTCTTATTTTAGTCCTTTGGATATGGGAATCGTACCTTCATTTTTCCCCCTCTCAAAAAAGAGCCAGTTAATATTCATCCATACATACTGTGTTTTAGAGACAGGGCCTCGCTCTGTCACCTAGGCCGGAGGGCAGAGGCACCATTACAGCTCCCTGCAGCCCTAAACTCCTGGGCTCAAGCAGTCCTCTCGCCCTGGCCTCCCAAAGTGCCAAATTACAAGTGTGGGCCACTGCATCCAGCCTTACCCATTTTTTAAATTGGGGATATATTTTCTTAAGAAAAAAATTACTTAAGATTCAAATTTTATTCAGATTTACGATTCCGACAGTAAGATATACAAATTTCCTCTCAAAAAAGGAACTGGCTGGCCAGGCGAGGTGGCTCAAGCCTGTAATCCTAGCACTCTGGGAGGCCGAGGCGGGCGGATCGCTCGAGGTCAGGAGTTAGAAACCAGCCTGAGCAAGAGTGAGACCCCCATCTCTACTATAAATAGAAAGAAATTAATTGGTCAACTAATATATATAGAAAAAATTAGCCAGGCATGGTGGCACATGCCTGTAGTCCCAGCTTCTCGGGAGGCTGAGGCAGGAGGATTGCTTGAGCCCCAGGAGTTTGAGGTTGCTGTGAGCTAGGCTGACGCCATGGCACTCACTCTAGCCTGGGGAACAAAGCGAGACTCTGTCTCAAAAAAAAAAAAAAAAAAGGAACTGGCAACTCATTTATTACTTAATTAAGAAAAAATTAAGTGATTCACCTAGTTCCAACTCAAAGTGATATAAAAACAGTGTAGTTAGAAGACCAGTCCTCTTCTAGCCCTGGCTGCCCCAGACACACAAGTGATCACTTTTATGAATTTCCTAGATATGCTTCCAAGTTTCTTCATGCAAATAAATATGCACATCTTTTTTCCATACCCTTCTTACACAAAAAGATTATTATACCATGTTCTGTGCCTTCCTTTTTTTAGGTAAACATCTATCTTAGAAATCTTTTCATATCAGTGTGAAAAGGCCTCTATATTCCTTTATATATCCTGACAATCAATATCAAACAAATTAAAATTACAAATCCCAACTCTGAAAATTAGAAGAACTAATATGAACCAGTGAAGAGTCAAGAATGAGTTATTAGCCTGGGAATATACTCATCATCTTTTAAATACTTTTTTATAAAAACCCAAATTCAAAGTATAAAATCTAAAACAAAGTATGACTACTTGCACTTTTTAAATACTTAAAACCTGGCCAGGTGCAGTGGTTCACGCCTATAATCCTAGCACTCTGGGAGGCCTAGGCCGATGGATTACTCAAGGTCAGGAGTTTGAAACCAGCCTGAGCAAGAGCGAAATCCCATCTCTACTAAAAATAGAAAGAAAGTATCTGGACAACTAAAAAAAAATAA